TCTTCCAAAGTAACTGGAACAGGGTGTCCACATGCTCTTCCTTAAACGAATACTGCTTGGGTGCTCTTTGCGGGTTCGGTGTCTTGTTTTGCTTAGCCGGTGATGCCCGTGTATTGGTGTCGGCAGCCAGAGTCTCTTTCCCCTTGGATCGAGGAGCATTATGTTGGTTGCGCTGTTGCTGCAGTTTCGGTTGGGGAATTTCTTCAGCCTTGACACGAGCAACGATTTCTTCGGCTTGTTCTTCCTACGAAACCAGCTATCTCCAGGAGCAATATTCCTCCACCCCCATCTGGGCGAGGAGCTGGGTCTGTAAGTTGTGCCTGCAAGTCTCAACCAAAGTTGATTGAGTCATACCTGATGGGCACCGCAGTGCCATGCTGCGGAATCTCTCAACATACGTCTTGATAGACTCTCCTTTCCTTTGTTTAGTAGCTAGAAGATTCAGGACTGAAACTTCTGTGTCGTCCTTAAAGAACTTGGCTAAGAAAAGCCTTTCTAGATCTACCCATTTCTGGATAGATCCGGCAGGCAATTTCATGAACCACTCGAAAGCGACACCCTTGAGAGTGCCGATGACCAAACGGGTCAGGATGGCGTCGTTCGCTACCACATCTCCAATTTGAGACTTGAAGTAGTAGATGTGCTGATTCGGCGAACCTGTGCCATCGAACGGTTGTAAGGTTGGAGCCTTAAACTTCGATGGATAGGGTGATGTCTCCTATTCAGCGGGGTAAGATCGTATTACCCCTTCTTCACGGAGCTCGCTTCTGTTGGTGATTGTGTTGAGGCGAGCTTCTAGATCGTCCACCTTAGTGGACTGAGGGTGCAATTCTTTTTCCGTCTCCTTCTCATTTTCAGAAGAAGATTCTATGTTCTGAGCCTCATGATCCGAATGCTCAGGTGCTTTTTGCTTTCCCTTGGATATTGTCCTCCGGGAAGATTCCGGTCTTTGGCCTTTTTCAGCAAGGAGCCGGGCCAACATATCATTCATCTGAAGAAGAGTCTCTTGTTGTGTCTGGAGCAAGATGTGATGTTCGTCAACTCTCTTGGCTAAATCTTCGGGGTTTCCCGTCATGTAAACGGAAACCTCTCGTGCCACAATGGAGCTTGAAGATTGAGATTCGGCAATAGCCAAATTTTCATCATCAGAAATAATCCCCTTGGCCAACCTTTGATAATCGACCGAGCGGATAGCTCCTATTCGAGTCCGAGTATGTCGGTATACTCCTTCAAATTCGTCACAAATTTTCTGAACGGTCGGGGAATGACTTCTTTGCGACTCGTCAGAACTAGGATGCGGGGCTTTCCCTCTGCCGATCACGTTGATAGTGACCTGAGGATATTCAGCTTCAGAAACCTTCTTCTTCTGATGATGTCGTCGCTTGGTAGGTCTGGCGACGTCAGCCACTCTGTCAAACACAGACTTGCGAGGCTCAGGTGTACAGTAGTGGCATTCTGAAAGGACTACTGATATAAGCCGCTCACACTGGAATGAATGAGCTGCTTGATGAGTTGGTCTTCCTTTCGATAACAATTCTCACAAGTCAGACACCTGAGAGAGATCTTTTTCTGAGCGTGAGGAAGGAGATGGCACCCCCTGTTCTTGAGAGGGTAAGACGGATTCTCGTCGAACATGGATTTTAAACCCATGTTGACCTTTTTGAACTTGATGGACCGCTTGAGGGTCGCGTTCTTAAAGAGAAACGCGAGGGTCGCGTTTGGATTTGTAAACATTAGGCCGAGGCCTATGTTTAAATGATGAAACAGACCCCTGAGGGTCATATTTTGGTTGAACGCACCCCTGAGGGTCGCGTTTGGTTGTTAAAACAGACTTTTGAGGGTCATGTTTTGTTTGAACGCACACATGAGGTGTGCGTTTATCTTCGGCAGCGCCTTTCTGAGGGCTGCATTTTGAAGGAATAACGCGCCACTGAGGGTCGCATTTCAGCTGTATTAGCCGAGGCTCGTAGTTGGGCTCATTGCCGCGAAGCGTGCTTTCCGTGGTGGAAACGCTGTGCTCGGGCAAAGCCTCTAAAACGCGATCTTCGCGTTGGGCACGAATCCGACTTTCTCGAAGATGTGCACGTCGTATAGATCTTATCCGTCTTCGAGCGGCATTCTTTTTGGCTTGTTTCAAAGCCCTGGCAGCAGCGTCGTTGGCGTTTATGGAGCTCGTCTCCTCTATAGGCAGTTTATGGCCTGTAGCACGTTGTGTTGACGTGGATGTGGGATGTTCAACTCGTTGTACTAGTCCGGCAGAGGCTAAGCCCGCTCCTGAGGTAGAGGGGCTGTTCGGCGCATTTTGACCAAATGAGAGGACTTTCTTTGACGTTTCAACAACAGGTTTGATCTCTTTGGAGATCTTGCGGACGTCACGCCTGGCCTTGGGGCTAAGCGATCCAGAGGAGAGGGCTTCCTCGTATTTTGCTTGGTCAAACTCCACGACGAGAGTTTCAACAGTTGTTCCCATGAGGTGGACGTCGGATTGCGCCACAACTTCTTCGTCAGAAAAGCTCGTCCCCAGCGAAGTCGTCATCTTTTATTTGTGGAAAAAATTTACAGTAAAAGAAATGAAAGAAAATTGATTTGTATTCCTTTAATCTCAGTTACAATTGGATTTCCTGATTACAAAAGAGAAGAGAATGATCTGGATTCTCCCCTTTGTTTAAAACTGGATTCTTCTTGGTAGCGATGGAGTGCCTCCTTCGAATGCTTACGTCGAATTTGCTCTCCGTTGACGATCCGACCGTCTTGTATCTCGTGGGAACAATGAACTTCTGTGGTAAGTTTGAGGAATAACTCTTAAGGAGTTTTAGAACTCAGAACGAGCTAGAACTCTGTGAAAAGAGTTGTTAGAACCGAATGATCGGTTAATAAGCCAAATAGATTTGTTTTTTGCTAAAGAATCCGATCTCTTAACCGCCAAGAACTCTACTGATTTTGTAGATGATTTGATCTTCCAAATCTAGCCGAACTCCCTCTTCAATCTGAACTCCGTGCGGTTTAGATCTCCAAAATCTTCAATCTCCAGCACCCAATCGGTTGAGTTTGTTGAGGTTTTATATGTGGATAAGAGGTTGTAACTGCCCTCTAAATCCGCTCCTAAGTGGGCGTGATTTCCTCAGATCGTGGGGAAAACGGTTCTGAAACCGTTCGACTCGTGTTTGAATAAGTCAAACGCCTAATTTAGCGTTCAGGACCCTAACTTCGCGTCTTAGAATTGAGACGCGGAGTTGGGTGTTGACTGAACGTCAAAAATGCGAGGGCCGCTCGCATTTTGCTTGTTGCAGCTTGAAAACGCGGGGGTCGCCTGAATTTCAAGAATTGTAACGCGAAGATGAGTTCCGCGTTTTAAAAAGGGTTAATTGACTTGTAACCTCTTCTGTAAAGCGTTGCAAGGACCATTGTTCAGTAATTCTCGCTTTAGCTGTTGTGGGGTGTGAAAGTCGTCAGATTGTAACTCTCACTGTTGATTATGAAGACTACTGAATAGAATTTTTATTAGTTGTCGGTAGTATCGTTGAAATGAACTCTTCTCGATCTATGTGAAAAGTTCTTCATTTGCAGCTTGTATTTGTTGACATGAAAGTCATCTGATTGTAACTTTTATTATTGAAGCTCGATAGGGATCAGCTATCTATTGTGATTTTTAGACAGCCTACATTAATATTGAAAGTTTTTTATGCAGCTCTCAAGTGGAGCTTGGAAAAGGAAATTACACTTTATTTTGGCTTGACAAGTGGGTAGGCTCATTTACTCTTGCAACTCTTTTTCCATCTTTAGTTGCTATTTCATCCTTTCCTTTTGCTACTGTTAGTAGCATGAGGAAAAAAGAAAATAATATGTGAAGATGGGTTGTCAAATTTAAGAGACAGTTAACTGGGATTTTTGTTTCCCAGTTTTTTTCTTTGATGAATTTGCTTAATTCCATTTCTATAGAGCAAAATAAAGACAAAAGAAAATGGTTGTGGGAGACAAAAGAGAGCTTCATAGTAAAATCTTTCTATCAATTTTTAATTGATGGAGGTTTGAGGTATGATTGTATAAATCTTTGGAAGTTCCCTATTCCTTTAAAAGTGAAGTTCCTTGTCTGGTTAGTTCTAAGACAGAGTTTGAATACAAAAGATATACTGGAAAAAAAAGGAATTCATTTGGAAAATGTTTGTTGTTTATGCTCTAAATTGGAAGAGAATCATACACATTTATTCATCAAGTGAGTTTGTTTACTCAATATGGAGATCAATTCAATTCAAACTAGAAACTGAAGATAATTTTAATTTTGGATCCGTAAAAGAAGTATGGCTCAACTGGGAAGTTGGTGATGATGAGAATTGCAAAATGAAAAGAGATGTTTTTATTTGTTCTCTAGTTTGGTGTGTATGGCAGTAGCGCAATGACATACTTTTTTCTAATAAAAGGAAGAGGTCTCTTGAGCTTTTAAACAAAATCATGACTTTCTCAACCTTTTGGCTAGGTTCTAAGATTGCTTCTGCTCAGGCTACCAGACTTTAGGAAAGAAGACGGAAGAGGATTGCTGATAGTCTGCAAGTGGTTGGAGCTACTAGAAGAAAAAACAGAGATTTGGTGAATGCGGTGATCCAGCTCGAATGATTTGTAATCAGCTCAGTCTTGATTTTGTCCTCTGTTTGATCTTTAAAACTTTTTTAAAGTTGAATTTGGTTTACTTTTGATTTTTATTAACACCTATTACGTTCATATCCTTGTGGAGGGATGTACGGTTGGGTACAGAGTGGTGTTTCTTTTGCATACTTTGTAGTTTTTTGTAGTGAACTTCAATACACACTTTTGGTTGGGAGTGTGTAGGTTTATGTAACAATCACTTTTGTTAATATTTAGCTGGTCGGATTACCTTTGTGGTAATCCATCCTTTTTCTCGAAAAAAAAAAGAGTTGAAGGAATCATGGGGAGTGGACCTCAACCCGGCCCGCTTAATGAGAAATCGGATTCGGGTGGGATAAGCGCATCCGAAGCTTTGAGCCCTAGTCTCGTCGTTTCCAAGGAGAGAGCAGACTTGGATTCTAACCCACAGCAGCGGCTTTAGCAGAGCGTGGAAGGCGATGGATGCTGCTCTCTTCTCCCCTTCTTCTCTCTTCCAAGAAACAGATGGTGAAGATGGAGCAGACACTGTGGAAGGTAACAGCTGCTGCCGTCATTGTTTTTTTTTTTTTGGTCTTAATTTATTCTTTTCTTTTCTTTTTTTCCCCTTCAAAATTCCTCCCTTTTTATTGTTATGTTGCTCATTCAATGACCATTTTTGTTGTGGTAGTGACTACGACAGAGAGGGAAGAAGGGATCGGAGATGTTGGGTCGCATGTGGCGGAGAGAAGGCATTCTTTCCCCGGAATGGTACGTACAGACTGTCGTATGTACATGTTAAATACTAAAACTGAATCCGATCTCAACCACCTGAATATTTTTTTGCCCCCCAAGCTTTGCTGTGCTCCAAAAATTCATCTCTGATATCGATGCACTTGCAGGAGCTGATGATTCGAGAATTTTCATTTCATTATTTAAATGCCAATTTGCTTTGGCCGGGGACTTTTACCTTCAGCGAATGGTTAGTTCAAAATCAATTTCTTTTACAAGGACAGCGTATCCTGGAACTTGGGAGGTAAGCATACTACTTGAGGGAAAAATAATAATAATTTCTTTGCCTTTCAGCTTGTTTCCTATTGCGAAGGATAAGGAACCGAAACATTATTCTTCGCTTGAGTTCACTACTTACTATATCTGATATTCATGTTATGATTTAATTTTTTTTTTTTTTTTGAAAGGCTTCCTTTCTCTTCGGATGAAACTATAACTCAACAGGACTGTAGGTAGTTTGATCTACGTGGGGATGGCTGACAATACCTTTCATTTTCTTTTCCTTTCTTTTCTTTATTGAAATTAGATTTGGTTCCAGCTGATTGGGGGCTAGTTTCTGATTTGCAATTGCCCCGAGGGCCGTTCTTCACCCACTTCAATCACCAGACGCTTCAGGCTTAATATGTAATTGAGAACTACCTATTAGTATATCAAAGTAACTTAAATTTCTAATCTTCTCTACCCCACCATTTCTTCTTCAACTCTCTAGTGAGGAAGCCACTAATAGCTTAGTGCCTCAAAATTCTACACGGATGATCTATGCCAACATTACCCATGTCTTTTGACTCTTTGTAAGTTGGTTTAGAAATACTTGAAAACACATAGCATTTCATAGCCTTCCTATAATCGATGGAGATCCTTCCTACGAGTCCTTAAAGGATATATATTTGTCCCTTTCTCGGTTAAATATAAGCCTCTAAGGACGGATATGAACCATAAAGAGTTGTTTATGTAGTTTCATCATATTTAATAACTAGTTGCTTACACACGCCGCTGGTGACCCATTGGGCGGTTCCAATATGGCTCCCACAATCTTAGGTTCAATTCCAAGCTGGTTTGTCAAATAATAATAATAATAATGATTAGCCTTTAGAATCTCAGTATGCATGATTGATCTTGTACAAACTGCTTCCTCTTTATTTTTGGTTGTCTTAAATAAAAATGTTGAAATGATCTTCTTATTCTTGTAGCGGTACTGGAGCTTTAGCCATCTTTCTCCGGATATCTTTTGGAGTTAACATCACAACATCAGATTTTGATGACGAGGAGATTGAAGAAAACATAGCTTACAATTGCAGAATTAATGAGTTAGATGTGCTGCCACATGTCAGGCGTAAGATTTTCTTGCTTGGAAGACCTGTATTTTATGGACTTATGTTCTTTGGGAAAGATGTCGAGTAGAATCCTTCTAATTGAATATACTAAGGGGGTGTTTGTTTTGGGTGGGAACCCTTTCAAAGGGTTGGAAAGGCTCTGACACGGTCAAAAAGTATCCAAAAAATAGTTGCCAAGGGTTTCCATTTCTTGTGCTTGTTTCACCAAAAGTTTTTAAGAAATATTTTCTTAAAAGTGAGGAAAACACCACTTTTTGCAAGGAAACTAATTCCTCTTCAAAAGTAATGAAATGGGGAGGAAAAGGTTGTAAATGTGGGTTTTTAATGTTTAAATAATGGATGATATGGGAAGTTGTTAAGATATAATAGTTAAATAATGAGAGATGTTTTCATCTCAATTGGTTTCTTGTTTTTGGCTTTTGAACCAAATAAATAGGGATGTTAAATGGGTGGGTTTGGGTGTTAAATGAGCGGGCCATAAATGGGCGGGCATGTTTTGCCCATTTACCCATTTATGGCCCATTTAACATTTTCTAAATGGGCGGGTTTTTGCCCGCCCATTTAATAAACGGGCCGCCCAATTGCCCATTTAACTATAGTAGCTATATGTATATAATACTTTTGGGGTGTTTTTTGTAAACTTTTAGGGAGCTTTTTGTAAACTATTGTGGGTTTTTTGCAAACTTTTTTGGGGCTTTTTGCTAACTTGTTGGGGCTTTTGATAAAATACTAACAAAGATAGGAACATAAACAAAGATAAACAAACAAAGGCAAACAAGTTCATGATTGAAACATTTACAAGCATGGATAAAAGTTCAGACCTCACACATTTACAAAATTAACTTCAAATTTCCAAACCAAAAACCAAAAGATCAATAACAACAATATTGCGAGAATATTTAAATGAATTAAGATAGAAAACACAAGGTATGCAAGGATCTGTATAAGATCAATAACTTGATATAAATGCCATCATAACTACCAGCAACACGATCACGATTAGTAAAGACAATCTACTTAATTACTTGATAAACTAGAAGAGTAGTAAGTTCGTCTATAAACAAAATAGTAGAACAACCATAGTCCACTTATTTCCCATCTTTCAAATGTTCAGGCATGAACAGGATCATGACAGAAGAAAGAAAAGACCAGGAAACAAACATAACACTCAGTTGGACTCAATAGCAACATTAAAAGTACTGTAGCAAGCCTCATATGTGCGTCTTCATAGCAAGGGTTAGAATCCTAAATCACCATAGAGACCTCAATATTTCCCCTGCATCAATCATCCATAGAATTAGTTAATTTTGTCACAAACGTATGATATTGTCATAATAATGAAACACTAGATAGCAAGATGCAATCTTTGGGAACCAGGGGACTAAAGATCAGCTAAATACACAAAGAACTTATCAGATACGTAATCATATAACAAAATTATGGTTTTACGAGAACAGGAAACAGGATAGTAAATACAGGAACCAGAGCCAAGAGACCTGTAGCCTTCGAAAAATTGTGATGAGCATAGTTTTGTAAATACTCTTCATTCATTAGACTGATCGTCAAAAAATATGAACCTACAAATTTGTAACACATTTAACAAAAACCCAAAACAACTCAGAACAATTTGTAACACAACAAGTACACTAATGGCATCTACGGATGCTCGGAAAGGTTCAAACCATAGCAAATTGTTGCTCAAGTGCATTATATAAGAAGGCTATCTACCAATGGATACTTGATAATTAGCATCATCACGAAATCATTCGTTTGAAAATGTATGGCAAAATGTCAACAACTGAATCGACTAATCTAAATAATGCAAGATTTGACACTATAGCATGGTCAAGTCCACAAAGCTAACCTATCAAAAGTAACACTAAATAAGAAAAATAATAGACATTACCACTCACAAACTTTAGCTTCTAGTCTTCCAAATCCCTCAAGCTTCAGTTTGTAACCTGTCATCTGAAACACAAATCCACATTACATTTTTTTTTGGGTCAAAAATCCACATTACATTATTTACACAATGACTGTCATCACTCATGTGCCTAGAAAATAATGAATTTTAGAAAACACCATAATTATTAAGGTGGTCATTAGTAAATTCATGTATTGTTTCCACTTGCAAGCCAATGATTATACATAATACTTCCTAAATCTGCTCTAAATTGAAACCACTCGTTTGATGTCCCCATGGATGTTATTGTTTCAACTTCATTCTTTTCATTTTGTTCTCCTTCTTCCACCTCATATTCTTCTAGCTTATCAATTTCAAATGGATCATTTTTCAATTCAGTTCTAATAAAGTTATATAGCAGAACACACCCCACGATAATTATATTATAGACTTTTGGAAATCTAACAATCGAACATGGCTCATATAATGAAAAGGAAATACCAGCATGTAACAGAGTTTCATGCCAGGAATGTCTTTCATGATAACCATTTGTAGCATGCCAAACGCATGCTACATAAATATCCTTGGTGTTACATGGACAAAGGTATATCAGACAATAGGACACCATATCCTTGGACATGGACAAAGGTAAAATTTTAAGCATTTGATGCCAGAATGTAAGAGAGTTTCGTGCCAGAATTGTCTTTCATGATGACCTTTTGTAGCATGCCAAATGTATGAAAATCGAATGGGAAGTGATATTTCCAACAGATAAGAAGGGTAAGAAGAAGCATAAAAGAACTCGAAGTGGTTAAAAAACACAACATAGTCCGAGGAGCAAAAAAAACACACCACCAGAGGACTTACCACCGCTATGATCAGTAGCTGGTCTGATAGCATGAACAGAAACATTGGGACCGAGAATAACCCATAATCGATAACTAGAAACAATACCTATTAACTATCTTATAATTACGACCTATTCCTAATGTCCTGCAAGCTCGGGGTCAGCTTTTACTATGAAATAGCATCCAAACAAATAGTGGTAAAAAAAACTATTACAATGAGAATGTCTCACACCTTGCTCTACACGCACAAAAAGGATACATCCTCATGTACACTTTCTAAAATCGATTTTGGATGGATATTCATACACTTGACAAACCAGTGATCCATGAACAAGTAACACCACTGAAATACAAAATATCTGGACAAACTTAGGGGTTTACCATCGTTCTAAGGATGAGGAGGTGGTTGGACATAAGAAGAGATCGAATGCTGAGAGCATTATTTACATTGGAAAGGCTGATATCAAAATAACAAACAATAAATAGAGCAACAATCCATATCATCCCTTAAACTAGCCTACAAAATACCGCTATGCATTTGGAATAGAAACAAAACTCAATTACCAAATATTTCTGACGTTGAGGCTTCTTAAATGCCACCCAACCTAAATCTCATAAAAATTCCCACATATTTCAGATCAAGTGAATAACCTTTTTTCCCCCCGCTTCTTACAATAAACAATTTAAAATAAGTAACTATGGAAATGCCCCCATCAGTCAAAATGCCTAAACCATCACTAAACAATTCCAATTTGACTTTGAGAGAGTCATAGATTAAAAGCGCGCACCTTAATCTTGTCATAATCCTGATCCCAGCTGAACTTATCAAGCGCCACGTATTTCAAAGCGCTCGAAGCGGCCTGCTCAGAGACTCAGAGAGAGAAACGAAGGGATTTTAGGGTTTTGTTTTGGGAATAAGGGCGGGTGGGCGGGCGGGCGGGCGGGTATAGAATGCCCATTTAGCACCCGTTTAATTGGATGTAAAATGGACCCGCCCATTTAGACCCATTTAATTAAATGGGTGGGTGTTGGGCGGGCTAAATAATGGGTGGGCCAGATGGGTAAATGGGTATGGGCATAAATTGCCTTCCCTACAAATAAACGAATGAGATAGAAAACATTTCCTTTCCATGTTTCCATGCCGAAACTAACAAAAAAATTGCTTATTTCCATGTTTCCATGCCGAAACTAACAAAAAAATTGCTTACTTGAAACACATGGAAAGGAGTGGAAATAGGTTTTTTACTACCAGAAAGGGTTTCCTTTTTTCCCGGAAATGAAACAAACATGCCCTAGGTTGAAGACATTCTCCATTCAAGTTGCCTGACAACATTTAGAATTATTTCTATAAACAAAAATTAATCAAGCTTTTTTATTCATTAAGTGGAGACACAAAGTGGATGGTCTAATAGTGAGTTGCTTAGTTTCAGTGTCTATAGTATTTGAGATCTAACTAAGCTTGGTGGAAATGGTTTAAGGGTCTAAATTATGATAAAATAATTGGATCAAGAATTTGTATGTATAACCGCATCTTTAAGCAACATGTCACTGTTGATTGTTGTTTTGGTAGTTAATAACAAATTTAATACACTTGCTTCTTGGGTGTTCTATATAATGCGGATCAATTTTAACGGAGTGGATCTTTTAGTTCACTGATCTTCCCCATCCTTTTGAAAAGAAGCAAGGTAACTCTCTTTCTATGTAGATAAGTTGAATGATCCTCCCAATCCTTTTGAAGCCATTCGAGCCAAATTGACAGTCTCTTTCTATGTTGATGCGTGTGTGTATATATATCATCATTTTCAATTCTTTTCCTTTTTCTTTCTCAAATATATGCTCCTTTTCAACATGCTATTTTCACATGTATTTGTCCGATTTCTTTTTTCAGATTCATGGGGGGATGTCTTTCCAACTGCGGAGCCCGATTGGGATTTGATTATTGCTAGCGATATTTTATTATGTAAGGTCTTATTGCCTTTAGCCATATTTTATTATGTAAGGTCTTATTGCCTTTAGCGATATTTTATTATGTAAGGTCTTATTGCCTTTCTCATACATTAGTTTTCCAAGAGTAGCTTTAATGTGCTTGTATGCTTCTTTGCTGTTTGTAGATGTGAAACAGTACCCGAAATTGATAAAAACCCTGTGCTTTCTCCTCAGTTCCCGCAAACCAAGAGATAACAGGGCAGCTGCTGGTAGTTCTCAATGTAACCAAAGTGTAACAATATCAGGTAACAATCATGTAGAACATGGGTAATTTAGTGATTGATAAGGACATGAATGACACAGAGCCTCTACTGTTGCTGCAGGAAAGCAAATACAATTGCAGCAGCCATTTTTCTTGATGAGCTGGCGGCGCCGTATCGGCAAAGATGATGAACTATTCTTCTCCGGATGTGAGGATGCTGGTCTGGTAACTGAACACCTAGGATCTCGAGTGTACTACATCAGGCCTAGAAGGCTTAATGGCTAAAAGGCCAGTTGCGCTAGCATCAATAATAACACCAAGAGTTATGGTACCAATCACCGACACGGATATGATCATATTGTGATTTGAGACGAAGCCAATTTCATAGATAACATATGTAATGTACTTTGAGCCGTCAGTTACCATTTTACTTGCTGAGGTGTGAGTGATCAGTAAGTAGTAGGTGTCTTGTTCCTCTTGATATTATTTTTATGTTTTCACCATAAATTTTCTTCCTTCCTCTCGTGAAATATTTCAGTCCAGCAGATGGATAATTAATCCCGTTCTTACTTGTTGCATGAGTTTCAGCACCTACTATCGTTGATGTGGAATCGCCTAATCTCATGGTCGATGATGCTTAATTTTGTTACATTAATTCCATCAGCGGTACGGTCCTAACCTCTTCCCAGCGTGCACGGCGGGCTTGGGTCCCCTTATTTGCGATGGTATTTAAGTGGGAAAAACCAGCTATCGAAGCCTTATTCCTTGTTCTTTTCTTTTTTTTGCCTTATTAACAAGAAGAGAAATTAATTGTACCTATCCATGGTTCCGATTTTGCCTGTTTTAGGCTGAGGGGGTGTTTGGTTCAATTTTTAGAAATTATAGGAAATGTTTTCTACCTAAAATATGATTTCCTTGTATTTCTTAAAAAAATTATAGGAAAAGTTTTGAGAAATAAAAAAGTACCAATTTTCTTGTTTTTTGTACTTTGCTTGTTTGGTTCAAAACAAGAAAATAACTCATAACTTTATAGAAAATAACAAGATTTGGTAGGTTTTTAATTAAATATGGTATGTGTCAGATTTCTGGTGATTTCCTCTCATTTTGAGAGGAAATTGTTTTTTGTAAAATTTGGTAGGTTTTGATATTTTATAGAAAATATTTCTGTAAATTTTTTGTTGAACCAAACACAATTTATAGAAATCTCTGAAAAACTTTTAATTATAAATTTGCCATTGTCAGATGTTTTGAGAAAAGTTTTTTCAAAAAGTGTACAACCAAACAGCCCCGAGCCACAAAAAAAAAAGGATCAATCTTTCTATATTTTATCAGAGCCAGGAGAAGAAAGAAGAAGAGAAGTTGTTGGAAGAAGGATAATAAGAAAAAGCAAACAATAACAAATGAAGGGAGGAAAAAAAAACTGCTCTTGATCTTTTTATATTTTTTTTTTCTTGCATACTTTTTTTTTCTCTTGTGTGGTAGTGACTTCCCAACATCTTCTCCTAGAGTGTTATTTTATAGAGAGATGGAAATTGATTATTATCACATTTTAGTTCAAACATACTTAGTTGGAAGCTCTTTTCTAGCTATTAACATGCATGTTACTCTCTTATGTTCTCTTTTACAAAAAAATTTGGGCTAAGACCCTTATCTCAAAAACCAAAAAAAGAAAAAAAAGGGAAATAATTTTATGAATGTTATTCAATAACAAAGAGCATAGTATGCGTATAAGAAAATTCATCCGAAATCGGGTGGGACTTGTTTCATGCTGCTTTGAGTTTACAGAAACGTCTCTGTATATTAGATTAAATAAATAAATAACAGGGGGAGGCGATAGGAGATGAGGGTAGGGGGAGGGATCGAAATCGTGGTCGTTAGGGTGATGCAAGTGTGCGTTTCACAACTATACTAAATTGGGTTAGGACTAGCCCCGACTCTATTTTAAAGTGCGCCGGTTTTATTTTGAAACAATGGAAAGGTGGTTCAAATTAAAATCAATTTAAAAGCTAAATTTAGGGTGTGTTTGGTAACAAGTTAAAATTGGGTCAGGACTGAACCTGACCCAATTTTAACTTGTTTTTTGTTTGTCAAATATTTATGCCAGACCTGACCCAATTTTTTAGCCTAAATAGTGTCATTAAACCAGTTTTATTTTGCACCAGGTCCAAAACAAAACTAGTTTAGTGGCACTATTTGGACACAAAAGATAGGACCAGATCTCGCCCAGAATTTTGACAAACAAGAAACGACACAAAATTGGGTCAGGTTTAGTTCTGACCCAATTTTACAAAGTTGCCAAACACCCTCTTGGTTTTAGAAAAATTAGACTAGAGTTGGCCTAATTTTATGCAAACAAACAGGGTTTTGCTCAAAATGAAAGCCTTTTATTTTTTTATTTTATTTTTTATTTTTTTTAAGGAGTTAAAATGAGGCCATATTCGACCCCAAGCCCATTTCGAGGAGTTGTCAAATACAGGACATAGGGACCAGAATTCCATGTGGAACAGTAGATAAAAAGGAGAGTACATATAAGGACAAGGGAAGAAGAAGCGCAGTGTATTATTGCCAGCTTACCTGCCAAATT